ATGTCCGTGATCGCGTAGGCTAAGTTGGAGCAGTGAGATTTTGTGCTATGCGATCGCGTGAAGGCACCCGCGATTGCGTAGGCTAAGTTGGAGCAGTGAGATTTTGTGTTATGCGATCGCGCAAAGGCATCCGTGATCACGTAGGTTTGGCCAGGTTGTGCTACGCGAACACGTGGGAAATGCCGCGTTCGCATAGGGGAAATTGGAGAGGAAGTTGGGCCACGCATTCGCTCTATGCGATCGCGTGTGGTTGTCCGTGATCGCATAGAGCTGAGGACTATGTGCTTCGCAGTCGAGTGAAGGAATCCGCGATCGCGTAGGGTTAAATCTGGGCAGTGGAAATTTGTGCTTCGCGATCGCGTGTGGTTGGTCGTGATCGCATAGAGCAAATGACTGGGCAGAGAGTTTAAGTTCTGAAAATGGGACTCCATTTTTACCAATTTGGAGCTCGGAGAGAGGATTTTCGGGAGATTTTCAAGAAAAATAACGGGGCAAGTATTTCTAACTTAATATTGGTTAAAATACCCGAAACCATGGTTGTTTTTCACATTTAATTAGTGAATTAAGTTGGAAGATTTAGAAACTCCTCTTGGTTTAATTTGAAGATTTGAGGGTCGAATTGATATCGGAATTTGGTAAAATTGGTATGGGTAGACTCGTAGTTGAATGAGTTTCCAAATTTTATAACTCTTGTCGGGTTCCGAGACGTGGGCCCCACGGGCGATTTTTGGGTAGAATTTCAGATTTTTATGAAAAATTTATATTTTCATATGGAATTAATTCCTATAATTTTTATTGATTGAATCGAATTATTTGTTGCTAGATTCGAGGTGTTTGGAGACCAATTCACGAGGCAAAGGCATAGCGGAATAAGAAATTACACGATTTGAGGTAAGTAACAGTTCTAAATTTGGTCTTGAGGGTACAAAACCCCGGATTATGTGTTATGCGATTGGTTTTGAGGTGACGCACATGCTAGGTGACGGGTGTGTGGGCGTGCACTGTAGAAATTGTGACTTGGTTAGTTCCATAGAACTGTGTAGTTGAATAATCTGTTGATATCCGTACATTTTTCACGTTTTAGAGAAATCGAACTATAAATCGTGTTTAAACCATGTGTTTACACTGTTGGGACCTAAAGAGGTCGTGTACTTGTAGAATTATTTGCTAAATTGCTTTTTTGCACTCAGTCACAGTTTTATTTGCACATTTCATCCCAGTCTCTATTGTTCATTATTGATGCATCATATCATTGATGTTTGGGCTGCTTATTATGATTTCTGAAAGCCCGGAAGACTGGAGAGGTTGATGACTGAGTGAGGCCGAGGGCCTAACTGTGAGAATATTTATGGGATCGGGCTGCACGCCGCAGCATGTTTCATTGATTTATACCATGATTGGCTTGTTATAGCGCTTGGGCTGAAGGAGCCCCTCCGGAGTCTGTACACATCCCCAGTGAGCGCAGGTACCTACTGAGTACGAGTGCCGAGTGTTGAGTAATTGTGAAGAAAGAGTGAACTGAGGAAATAGTGACTGTGAGGTTGGAGTGAATGGGAGGACTGGGTAATTATTACTCTGAGAGGATGCATTGATTTTATTATTGCTGCATTTCAGTTGTCATATATATGTCACCGGTTTGGAAATTTTCTAAAAGACATTATCTTCTGTTTCAGTTGAAGTTGATATGAAATTATTGTGGAATTTTAAATGTTGAACTTGAGAGCATGCCTACCCTTTTATGTTGAAAATTACTGTATTTGGACTTAGTTGTGAAGCTCGTCACTACCTTCAATTCTTATTTATTATTGTTACTTACTGAGTTGATTGTACTCATACTACACCCTGCACTTCATGTGAAGATCCAGGTAATCCCGGACACAGTGGGTGTTGATTCTTTCGCATAATTGATTTTTTTTCCGGAGATTCAGAGGTAGCTGTTGTGTTTTGCAGACCTTGTCTCTCCTTCCCTATCTCCTTGTTTACTGTATTTGGTCTCAAACTATTATAGACCGTGTTTTCAAGATTTATAATGTATAGATGCTCATGTATTCAGTGACACCAGGTTTTAGGAGTGTTTGTATCGGTATTTGCGAGATTTTTATATTGTATTTAAATATTATGTTTTCAAACTTAAAGGAAATCGTGGGTTATTGATGTTATCGGCTTGCCTAGTATTGAGAATAGGCGTCATCACGGCATGTGAGATTTTGGGTCATGACAAATATAGATATAGATAGATAAATAGATAGATAGATAGATATAGAAATATAAATATAAATAAATTATAATTTATATATTCAAATCTAATATATATACACCATATAAAAAAAATTATAAGTTCAGATGAACTTAAGGCAACTCCATCCGCCCATTGCTTCTGTCCAACATGCAGTTTTTTGGTGTTGTTATACCTTTCCTCTCAATTCGAAAAAAGCTTTTTGAACACACCGCACTAAAGCACGGGTCAAGCAGTGGACTAGAGGCCGAGAGCATCAGCGGAATGTGCATCCCAATACACAGAAATACTCGTTGAAATTCCAATGTCAGTACTCCCATTGCTTATCATAAAGAGTCTGGTCGAGAACTTATACTACATTTATTTTTATTTTTTTTGGGGTAAATTACTTGCACTACAAATTCCCCTTTCCTGAGGTGGAGACATTGAGGTTGTTATTCTCGTCCGAATCTTTTTGTTTTCACCTATGTTAGTTGCTTGTTTGTGAATATTAAACATATTTCTATCTCATGACAAAGACATAAGTTAATGGAAATTGTAAGAGCCACAATTTCTTTTCTTTTTCGTTAAAATCATCTTTGCTTGATTTTTCTTTTCTAAGTTCAATAAAAACAGTTCACACCTTCAAGATTTATAGTATACTAGTGATATCAATGAAAATGTCCCACAAAATAGGTCATATTTCCTTTAGCACTCACCTTTTAATAAAATTTTTTAGATGCATGCTAAAAATTGATATGCAGAAAGCTTATGACTCAGTTGAGTGGATTTTTCTGGAGCAAATTCTAGTTAGTCTAAATTTCCCTAATATTTTTGTAAAATGAATTATGGGGTGTGTTAGAACTGTTTCTTATTCTGTACTCATTAATGAAAAGCCTACTAAACCCTTTAAGGCTAGGAAGGGATTGAAGCAAGGAGACCCCCTTTTTCCTTTCTTATTTGTCCTGGCAATGGAATATCTTAGTAGGCTTCTCAAGCAATTAGGAAAACTTCCTGATTTCAATTTTCATCCTAAATGTGCTAAAATGAATCTGATCCAGTTGAGATTTATAGATGACTTACTCTTATTTTGTAGAGGGGATGTTATGTCTGTTCATATGCTATTTGATAGGTTTCAAAGTTTTTCTAAGGCCTCTGGTTTGGTTGCAAACTTGAGTAAAAGCTCTGTTTACTATGGAGGTGTTACACATGAGGTTCAAAATGATATTCAGAATCTCTTGGGATTCAGCAAGGGGAACTCTCTATTAGATACTTAGAGGTCCCTCTAAGCACCAAAAGAGTTTTTGTCGTTCAATGCCAGCCTCTTTTGGATAAAATGTTGGGAAGGATTAAATCTTGGACTACTAGATTCTTATCCTATGATGGCAGATCCCAATTGATAAAGTCAGTGTTGTTCTCTATACAAGTCTTCTGGGCTCAGATCTTCATCTTACCTAAGAAAGTTGTAAAGTTATTGAAGCTACTTGTAGGAATTTTCTTTGGTCTAGTGGTACTGAGTTGTCAAAAAAGTTTTGTTAGCTTGGGATAGGGTCTGTTATCCAAGGTCTGCAAGTGGTTTAAATATTCTAGACATTGCAGTTTGGAATAAAGCGGCAATTAGTAAAATGTTATGGAATATTTGTAGGAAAAAAGATAAACTTTGGGTGAGGTGGATTCAATGTTACTATGGGAGGAACAAGAATATGTTTGAAGATGTCCCGAAGCAAGCATCTTGGATTGTTCGGAAGATTTTGAAAGCCACAAAGTACTTTAATGAAGCAGGCTATATATTGAATGAGGTATAAAGTATGAAGAAGTTCTCTACAAAGCAATTTTACTTGAAGTTAAGGGGTACATTCCAGAAAGTAGCATGGAGGAAACTTGTGTGTAACAACCAAAGTTTACCCAAATGGATTTTCATATTGAGATTGGCTGCACTTGAGAGATTGTATACAAAAGATAGATTATTCAAGTGGGGTGTGACTCAAGATCAATTTTGTCTCTTATGCGGGCAAGACCATGAAAGCTTGGCCCATTTGTTCTTTACCTGTGAGACCACTGCACAACTCTGGAAGAAGCTGCTCAACTGGATAGGTGTCACTAGAAATCTAATGGTCTGGGAAGATGAACTACAGTGGGGGATGCAACATGCTAGTAGGAGCAGTTCAAGAGTTGAGGTATACAGAATGCTACTAGCGGTTGCTGTTTACCATGTGTGAATGGAAAGGAATTATAGAGTGTTTCAAGGCAAGCAACAGAGTATTGAGGTAGTAACAAGATCTATAGTTCAAGAAATCCATTTTAGAGGTTCAATGAAGGTGAAGATTGCAAAGTGGCTTGAGAGCTTAAACTACTACCCAGCCTAAATACTTTTGGTATTGAGACGATCTTTTTGCTATTTTAGTTTCTAAGATTAGACCGGAGGTTGGGACTTGATGTCCAACATTCAGGGTTTGTATGTTGTACTCCAATTTTGATAATAAAAATCTAACTAATTACCAAAAAATTAATAAATTGAAATTTCAAATAGTTTATACTAGAAGAATGTCAGAAAGTTTTAGAAAGAAGTAGAAATTAGGATTAGACGAAATCCGGAGTATGTTAATCCTTTTTCAAGTGGATACATGAGCTGAGGTAGATAAACTAAACGGTAAAACGTGTAAATTTTTTAAGGATGAATAGCGGTGAAATTGCAAGTAATGATTAAATTTCCTTGACTAAATCAAAGCCCGATTAAAACGACGCCGTTATCATATCATTTTCTGTTTTTCCTGTCATTCGGATTCGGATCGTACCAGACCTGGGATTCCACATAATTTGCAAAGAGGAAGTCAGGAAGAAGAGGTGTAAATCAGAAGGAAAGCTCAAAAATACAAAAAAGAGAAAAAGAAAGCAAAAAGGAGGAGCGTGAAAATTGAACAAAAGGCTCACTAAAGAACACTCTCATTATAGTGTTCTTCACGAGAAAAAGCTTACCCCAGCTCTCTTTTTCTACATATATATACTGTTTACATAAATAAATGTTTCTGCATGTATTGAGAAGGAGTGGAGGAATAAGATGAATAAAGCTAGAAGGAAAAAGGGGATTTTTTTTTGAATCTGGGTATCCCCAAATGCCTTTTCATTATCTTCCTTTTTGAGCACTAAACTATGGCTGACGATTTCTGTTTCTTCACCAAGGTAATGTCTTGTTTTGTTTGTTTAACATTCTTGCTTCTTTCTATATATATCATTTCGTTTTTATATTTTATCTGAAATGATATACACAACAGTGGAAAGTTTCTTCATTTGCCTTTTATCGACAACTGTATGTAATGTTATGACAACTCTAGCTGTGTTGATCTGGGTTTCTTCTCAATCTCAAGTGTTTCCTCAAATTTGAGCTTTCATTTCTTATGTCATAGCATTTGTTTCTATTTCTTGTATCTTTTCTCATCTGTAGAGTGTGACAATAATTTTTGATTATTTTGTATCTTGAATTCTAATTTGATGAAAGCCCACCTAGATTCCCTTGCCTTTTGTTTTGCTTGTTTAATTTAGGACACAAATTTATTTTGTTGAAACCCTGAAGGAAAATTTGATGTAGCAACACGAAATTTAAAATCTCAAGCATTTTAACTTTTGATTTAATTCCAGGATACTTTCATAATAAAGCCACCAAAGAAATCTCCATTGCTGCTGAGAATGGTGGTCTTATTTTTTGCAATGATATGTGGAATTTATATATGTTCAATTTGTCTGAAACAAATTGGTTCGCGTTCCAGTGGACCGGTCACCAGTATTCATGTGGTTGAAAGGCCATGTGAGGCGACAAATATTGAACCTTCAGAAAAACCTTATCTGCACTTCCCCAAGCCAAAAACTTTTAGCCGGTGAGATATTGACAATCTGTTAGTATGTTTTAGTATCTCATTGTGGATAAAATTACTGACTAAATCCTGCTGTATCAGGGCTGAGTGTGCTTGTAATCCTGTAAGGTTTTTCGCAATTTTGTCCACTCAGAGATCTGGTAGTGGATGGTTTGAAACATTGTTGAACAGCCATATGAATATAAGCTCTAATGGGGAGATTTTTTCTGTTAAAGCCCGGAAAAGTAATGCATCAACGATTTTGGAAACATTGGACAAACTCTATAACCTAGACTTTTTGACCAGCGCTTCCAAGAATGAATGCACAGCTGCAGTTGGTCTGAAGTGGATGCTTAATCAGGTGGGTGCCATTTTTAAAATTCTATTTGTCATGTCTGTTCCTAAATATGTGATCACGAGAACATAACTACGTAGAGAACGTAGCTGTGATTTATAGAAAACCTTCTGTAAACTCGATTCATTTTATCAACATTGTGTGCTAGTCGTCAGTGATTTATATAGTGGATATATGAGGTTGCTTCTTGAGTTTTCAAACGTGAAGTTGGCATGTTTGTCTATCATCTGAATTTGCTCTTTTCATTAAGCTGTCATTTCGGTTGTATAAACACATAATTTTGATTAAGGAATTAAAAGAGGGGAAGATTGTTGGTGGAATTTCACAATGGAGTATTCAGTACCTAGCTGTGTTAGCTCGTCTTGAAACGTTTCTTTTCTTCTTCGTCATATGTTGGTTCATATGTGAAACATGCTAGCTTTGTTTTCAGAATTTGGGCCGATGTCTTTTACTTATACTCACTAAACTGTATGTATGTGTTTGAATATGTGGTTATCACGTCTCAATTCTGGACTTGCATAATTAGTTAAGTTATGATGGTTTCTTATCACTTGTCTGCCGCTTTAATATGGTAAATAGTAGATGGAACAACAGTAGTACCGGAATAATGAGTAAGATAGGGACTCGGAGTCCTTTGCTCGAACGAAACTAGATCATGTGGAAAATCATATGGAATATTTAATGTTGATATTTTGTACCATGCTAAAATACCAATCCTTGAAGTACTACAAGCATTGTGATTTCAGGAAAAAAAAGTATGTGATGTGTATTTTAGTAGAAAAATACAAAAAAGTTCCCAGATACAACATGCTTGGCTCCCC